CCTTGGCATGGCCCTGACCAATCACAGGTTGGCAGGGGCATCACGTGGGCCTCATCTGATTGGTCAATCCCTCATTTTTTTTCACCAAGGGAAGCCCGATTCAGCTGGCCTCCTCTCGCAACAGTGAATGCAATCTACTGTTTCACCATAACATCTAGAGGGGCGCTGTTTGTTTCACTCTTTGTAAAATACTCAATGAGAGTGGGGGAGAGACGGGCCGGCAGCAACACACAGCAAAGGACAATTATCTAAACAAAACAAAGTGTTTTTATTTATTTATTTAAATTATAACTACAATCCGAAAAAACAGGGGAAGCCTGGCTTCCCTTGGCCTCCGGGAGAAAACGCCACTGTTTAGCTGTCCTTTCAGGTCCCTCACCTTTTGGGAGCGTAGGGCAGAATTAGGAGGGAATCCCGTCTCGTAGCGTTTGTGCACTGTTTTGAAATGCCGCTCCTAAATTACCCTTCTTCGATAAAGCCACGCTCGCATTGCAGATGAGACAGATGGACTTTGAATTGGAATAGATACAAAAATAATCATCCTCCCACTCGGAGTGAAAATTATATATTTTGGGCTTTTTTGCTTCTGCCATAATTGCGGTCTTGTGTGTGTGCGGACTGTCACTCCTGTTGCCACGGACAACGTCAGCGAAATAGTGCCCACTGCCCACCAGCCACGCCCCGACACATGGGGTCACGCCAATCACAAAGCTTTGATGCGTTCAAGTGCATTATTCTGGCACAGGAAGATTATGTTATAGGACATTAACGATAAAACTGAATATTGTTGTTCTATTTTTAGACACATCTCGCGATCGACTTGGAATCTCCGGTCGATCTAGAGTTAAAGACTTTTTTTAAATATCAATCTACAATTTTTCACCCTGCTATACCCTTGATGAGTATCAGCTCCACTAATGTAAAGAGCTATAAAGGATGTGTTCCTCTCCACAGAGGGAAGAGGAAGAGTCGTGTTCCTGTGAAGGAGCAGCTGTCCAGCTGTGCTCTGTGTCAGGACGTCCTGAAGGATCCAGTCTCTACCAGCTGTGGACACTGGTTCTGCAGACAGTGCATCGCCTCATACTGGGAGCAGGGACCTCCATCAGGAGACTCCTGCTGTCCTCAGTGTGGAAAAAGATGCAGCCTTGTACAAAGTAAGAGGCCGAACACATTCAAGGTTCAAGGCTTTTATTGGTCATACGAACATAGCTACAGTGTAGTTATGACCAGTGGTGTAGTGGGGATTTGTTTTACTGGGTGGACGCTATTTTAATTAGGTCATCCCAAACAATGCGCAGTGCACTCACAAAATGGGCAGACAGGTCTACAGAAACTACCGGTATGCTTAGTCCTACTTTAGTTACTGTACTGCAAAAAGCAGACGGCGCTGCGCTCAACACACACACACACACACACACACACACACACACACACACACACACACACACACACACACACACACACACACACACTCAAACCATGGACACTCCGGCACATAAGTTACATAAACAATTTATAGGCCTAAGTTGCATAAATGCTCTCTCTCTCTCTCTATCTCCACTTTCAAAATCTATTTAAAACTCATAACAAACAAACAAAATTCCCAAAGTTGTCCTGAAATTAACTTATTAAATAAACGAAACGAAAAATATAATCTACTTTTGCAAACAACATTGAATCTGGACTTGAAATGATTCTGATTAGGCCAAGCCTACATGCATGCCGAATAAACGGATCTTGTATGCACACCGCTTCGGCATTATTCCTGGCATGCGCGCTCTCTCTCTCTCAATCAAGTTGCATAAATGCTTGAGCTACGTCATTGCAAACAAGCAGACACTCACAACAGGAAAGAATGAAACAGAGAGGAATCAATAAAACACAAACACAGAAATAGTTGAAATTAATCATTATTATTTAGTTGTGCACCACCAAACAACAATGGGGAAACATGACCTGCCCTCAAGCAATCATACAGCAATGCTCCCAACAAAGTACAAGAAACACAGATATAGGTTTCCTAAATGACACACGAACATGTTCCCTAATCATTTTTAACGCACACACATTGTCAGTTCTCTTAAACTTGGACATGTTCCAGATGTTGAAAGGTCATCATCTCATGACATCTTTAGGAGTCTTGCAGGATATGAATTATCCAATTAACAAACTATATATAAGTCTGCACATGAACGCACATACATTTCTTTACATTAACTAACACACCAACCTCAATGTTTTCCCTCTAACTCTATCATAATCTAAACATCCTCTTTGTCATCTCACTTTAAGTGAATAATTAGCAAAGAGACGATTAGCCTCTTGGCTCTGAAAACTGTAATTCAATAACATACCTAGTTACTATGACTAGGTCCAAGATTGATATAACATTCCCTCCTTTTATTAATTTAAGTTTCCAGATCATCCAATAAATACTCTTACAAATAACCTTTTGAGATCCGCCCTGGATAGTCCAAAATGACTTTCTGAAAAATATTTATCAATTTGACTCAAGGCAGAAGTCACAGGGTTACCTGTCCTACTCACAAATAGCCAAAAAAACACCTTTTTGATTATAACACAAAAAGTGGAAGAAAACATAATTTGCGCTAATCTACTCCACTAAAATGGAAAATCATTAAAAAACCTCAGTATGCTTAAGAGGAAAACATCTATTTGTCCCATTCAAGTTTAACAAACTTACATACTGAAAAATCTTCCAAAACACTTATAGCAAACTCGTTCTGCTTCTGTTATATTGTCCAGTAAACACTTCTTCAGGGAGTGCACGTTCTGATCTCCATGCGTAGCCTTTAGATGGAATATCTATCTTAGCCTTCATGCTGTGATGTCCCATCTCATAGCAACATCCCTTGATGACATCTGAAGCAACATCATTACCATTTGAATTGGACGGAACTGTAGTCAGAAAAACTGAGACTTCTGTAAAAGAGCAGTTGACGGTAGATCTTCTTCTCTGGAGTGTTGAGATTACTAATATACTTGGCTGTAAATCATCTCAGACATCTTGGGTTTTGTTCTTCGTGTTGACCCAAACCCATAAGACAATAGCAGTGGAAGAATAGCTGGAAGTCCTCAAGATTGCAAGGGAAAGACAGCTTTGACCTGGGTAGAAAATAGCACTTGCATTCTGGGTTAACAGCCTACAGTCGACCACTAGGCCTTAGAGTCTTATCTATAATTTTTAAACTTCTTGAAACCATGAAATGTTGTTTATGTTGTGTTTTTACTTACCCACAATTTCCTAAACACACAACAAACATCTCCTGCAACATTGCTCAGCCATGGTGCTGAAACCAATCAGATCTCAACTTCAAACAATACATTTAATCATACCTGTCTTAGCAGAACCCAATCGAAGCTTGACCATGTAGGAAAAAAGTTGTTTAGGCAAAAAGTTGTTTCATTTGCCCTCTGGATCATGTGAGGATTAAAAGATTCACGTGACAAGAATTAAAAGACATCTGAAACCAATGTGTCACAGAAGAAATAATGAAAGATTTCACCTGGGATGGAAGCAAAATGGTATCAAGTACATTTTAAAATTCACTTACTAAATGTAACAATAAACCCATTATACCCCTCCTGGAAACATTGTCCTCCAAACCATAGAGACCATGTTTCCCATATAAGATACATTAGAGTACCCATCTTCACATACATTGTTATTTCAAAGTCCTCAGTCTGACTAGCAGCCCGACCCGGGATCCCCGCTTTGTCGTCCTCCTGCGTCTCTCAGGTAGGACAGTAACAGGTAGCCATGGCGAATATCCATTGTCTGACGGTGGGCTGTTGTCCACAAAGTTTCTGATCTGTAGAAGTTCCTCTCTGCTATATTGTATAGCCAGGGTTGTAACGGAATACATGTAATGGCGTTACGTAATCAGAATACAAAAATCAAGTAACTGTATTCAGCTCGTGTTACATTTGAAAAACGACTAATCTGATTACAGTTACTTTCGTAAACCTGAAGTGAATACATTTTGGAATACTTCTTGGAATTATTGGTGGAAAGGTTTCCTCACAAAATGTAATTCATTACCGGCAGAACAGTGTGCACGGCGCTGCAGAGAGAGAGAGAGAGAGAGAGAGAGATGCAGCGTGTCTGTGAGGCCCCGCCCCCGCACGCAGATGAGCGAGAGATCTCTTTTAAAATATATTGAAAGTTAGAAACGGCGATGGTTCGATAGAATGTGCAAGATAACGTTTATGTAGCATTTCTTTATTGTTGAAATGATGACATTTCATAACGCGTTCAAATCAAAGTGAATGGTCTGCTGCTGAATGCATCGGGCAAGTGACTGGAAAAAGTTAAAAAAGTTATTACATCGTTTCAGATTAATAATAATAATAATAATTAATAATAATAATAATAATAATTAATAATAATAATAATAATTCACTCTATTTAGAGGCGCCTTTCACAGCACCCAAGGACACCTTACAATTCATAAAATATTCGAAGGAAAGGTTTAAGACAGTACAAAAGGACTGTAACAGGGAACATGTTGGGAAACAGGAGACATGTAGCACTACAGTGAGTAGGCTGATCTGAACAGGTGGGGAGAGAGGAGGGAGGTGAATTTGGTGATTGTGTCAGACTGTCGGATGTGAAGGGGGAGAGAGTTCCATAGTTTGGGAGCAGCTAAAAGCCAGAGCCCCCATCGTGACTATAGCCGTGGGGGGGGGGACAGTTAGCAGGCCAGCAGAGGAGGAGCGGAGGGAGCGAGAGGGGGTGTAGGAGGTCAGCCAGATAGGTGGGGTCAGGAGAGAGGAGAGAGAGGAGAGAGGAGAGAGGAGAGAGAAAGGTCAGCCAGATAGGTGGGGGTCAGGAGAGAGGAGAGAAAGGAGAGAGAGAGAGGAGAGAGAGAGGGGGTGTAGGAGGTCAGCCAGATAGGTTGGGGCCAGGTGAGAGAGAGAGGAGAGGAGAGAGAGAGGGGGTGTGGTCAGAGGATGGGGGTGATGTGGTCAGAGGATGGATGGAGGTGATGAGGTCAGAGGATGGGGTGATGAGGTCAGAGGATGGGGTGATGAGGTCAGAGGATGGGGGTGATGAGGTCAGAGGATGGAGGTGATGTGGTCAGAGGATGGGGGTGATGTGGTCAGGATTTGGTGCGGGTGATGATCCGGGCAGCAGAGTTCTGAATGATTTGAAGTTTATTGAGGAGTTTGATGAGAAGGCCTGAGAGCATGGTATTACAATAGTCAATACGGGATGTGAGGAATGCATGAACCAGGACTTCAGTGCTGAGACAGGAGTCTGAAGAAGAATGCAGTCCGGGTGATGTTTTTTATGTGGGGTGCAAATGAGAGGGAGCTGTCCAGAATGACACCAAGATGTTGTGTTTGAGTTGTGCTCTTGATAAGCCATTAAAACAGTAACATAAGTGTCTCCTGTACACCAACACATACCCATCTGTTATGGGAAAAGAAAGTATTCTAAAAGTAATCTGAATACTTTTTTAAGACACGTAACTGTATTCGGATTCGGATTACTTTCAGAGCCATGTATTCAGTATTCAGGAACTAATTACATTTACAAAGTAACCCTCCCAACCCTGTGTATAGCAGAGTTGGTGCGGTCGGCTCACATGTTGCGGTCCAGAGGCCTGTACTACGAAGCAGGATTTTCGCTTAGCGAGCTAACTTCAGGGAAAACTCAGGGTTTCCGGTCCTACAACGCTGGTTCTCTTTTTAGCGGGCTAGATCTCCATGGTAACTTATGCTGAGCGGCTAACCTGCTCCGGAGCAGGTTAGGTTGCAGGCTAAGAGATCAACTCAGTGAAAGCACCGCCTGCTGACCAATCAGAGCTCAGTGTGCAGAGTTTAAAGCGATCAAGTCATATTACAGGATAGAGGAAATACAGAAAAACTGCCGTTGCAGGAAAGACGGCCGGCAAAAATCAACTGACTGTGTGAACGTGAAAATTAATAGAATATCCCCTCCCATCTTCAGAGCAATCTGACTATTATAACATTAGCGTTAAGAAAGCTTACTTAAATATCTGCCACAACATAAGTAACCGGATCAGAGTAACATTACGTACAGTCCGCGGCACGGTGAGTGCAGACGTCGATGTGTCCCATTATCATTCATATCATATCACATCATAATGTATCATATATTTCCTTATTTGAGTCAGCTTCTTGAGCCGTATCTGGCCGTGCAACACTCACAGTGTCACATACTGTATGCAGAAGTATTATTTTAAGCAACACATTAAGTTGACGAAACACTCCAGTCAAATGTAATTAAAGTCAGATCGTGTCTTAGACGGGGCAGTGATATCATAAACCTGTTAATGTACGCATTCAAACACTTTTTCTTTTACCAGCTGTATTCACCTTGCAGGTGCAGCTATGTGGCTTTTATCCTGGATAAAGTGTTTAAGTCATGGATGTTTAAAGTTTAACTTCTTCATATTTGACTAATATTAAAGTTCACTTTTCATTCAGGAAGTATGACGCTGCGCTGTCAGTACGCTTGTCCATGTTTGTGATTGGTCGAATGCTCCAGATACCACCCCTTTCATGTGAACGCGCACCTAACTAGATAGGACACGGCTGGCTTGAGCGATCCACTTGATAACCAGCGTCGGAGGACCGACGTATGTTTTGGATTAGGCCAACCGGCTAACTCAAACATATTCAGGTTATGTTGAACCGGCTTCGTAGTACAGGCCTCTGGTTAAAAGCACACGGCAAAAAGTAAATAAACACTGAAAAAATACGAGAAAAAGGCAAAGTTGGAGAGGAGCCAAAAGACAATGCAGCCATCTTCACCGGCTCATTCCTATCAGCATCTTGACCTGGGCGCTGGGTGTCTACTCTTCCACAGAAACACTGTATAATCTGATCTCTTTTTCAAGGCTTTGATTTAAAAGTGTGTACACAAATATTTCACGTGGGACAGCAGTGTTTCCCTAAAGAATGCTTTCTGTCTTACTCAGACATTACTACATCAGCCCAGCACTTATATAACATTTTTTTTAGTGTTGTAAAGTATAGACATAAAAGTGTTTTATAAAAATCATGACATTTAAAACCCTGACTGTTTTTTTATTTTATTTTCATCATCAGATTCTCAAAATAATTTTCCTGATTCTCTCATGTTTCCTTCTCTTCCAGCAGATAGTGGTCTGCAGAACGTTTTAGATGAACATAGGCTCAGTCTGAGGAGGAGATGTGAACGTGTGACTGAAGGATGTGAACGTGTGACTGAAGGAACTGATGAAAGTGAAACCCTCCTCAACAGCATCTTCACTGAGCTCTACATCACACAAGGCCTGAGTGAAGAGGTTAATACCCAACATGAGGTGAGGCAGCTGGAGACAGCTTCCAAGAAAGAGACCCTCCATGACACTCCAATCAAGTGCCAGGACATCTTTAAAGCCTTACCTGACCAACAGACTCTCATCAGAGTGGTCCTGACCAACGGAGTCGCTGGAGTTGGAAAAACCTTCTCAGTGCAGAAGTTCACTCTGGACTGGGCCGAGGGTTTGGAAAACCAAGATGTCAGTCTGGTGATCCCGCTCTCCTTCAGGGAGCTGAACCTGATCAAAGGTGAGCAGTACAGTCTTCTCAGGCTGCTCCATGTTTTCCATCCAACCTTACAGAAGGTCACAGCAGAGCAGCTGGCTGTCTGTAAAGTGCTGCTCATCTTTGACGGCCTGGATGAAAGCAGACTTTCTCTGGACTTCAGAAACAATGAGGTTGTGTCTGATGTCTCACAGCAGTCCTCAGTCAACGTGCTGCTGACAAACCTCATCAGGGGGAAGCTGCTTCCCTCGGCTCTCGTCTGGATAACTTCCAGACCTGCAGCGGCCACTCAGATCCCTCCTGAGTGTGTGGACAGGGTAACAGAAGTACGAGGCTTCACTGACGCCCAGAAGGAGGAGTACTTCAGGAAGAGATCGAGTGATGAAGACCTGTCCAGCAGAATCATCTCTCACATCAAGAGCTCCAGGAGCCTCCACATCATGTGTCTGATCCCAGTCTTCTGCTGGATCACTGCTGCAGTTCTGGACCACATGTTGACTACAGACCAGAGAGGAGAGCTGCCCCAGACCCTCACTGACATGTACTCACACTTCCTGCTGGTCCAGACCAAGAGGAAGAAGCAGAAGTATGAAGAGGGACATGAGATGAGTTCACAGCAGCTGACGAAGAAGAAGAAGAAGAAGAAGAAGAAGAAGAAGAAGAAGAAGAAGACGAGTCCACAGCAGCTGACGGAGGCTGACAGGGAGGTTCTTCTGAAGCTGGGGAGGCTGGCGTTTGAACATCTGGAGAAAGGAGACATCATGTTCTACCAAGAAGACCTGCAGCGCTGTGGCCTTGATGTCACCGAGGCCTTGGTGCACTCAGGAGTTTGTACAGAAATCTTCAAAAGAGAGAGTGTGATCTTCCAGAAAACAGTCTACTGCTTTGTTCATCTGAGCATTCAGGAGTTTCTGGCTGCAGTCTACATGTTCCACTGTTACACCAACAGAGACACAGAGGTACTGAAGGACTTCCTGCAGGGAGACTATAGCAACAGGTATAACAGAGATCAGGATTACCCATCCCTGGATGTCTTCCTAAAGGGAGCCATGGAGAAATCCCTCAGCAGTGAAAATGGCCACCTGGACCTGTTTGTACGCTTTCTCCACGGCCTCTCTCTGGAGTCCAACCAGAGTCTCTTAGGAGGCCTGCTGGGTCGCACAGACAACAGTCCAACATTCATCCAGAGACTCTTCAGAGGCCTGCTGGGTCGCACAGACAACCGTCCAGAAATCCTCCAGAGAGCCATCAGCAACCTGAAGAAGATGAGCAGTGATAAAATCTCTCCTGAGAGGAGCATCAACATCTTCCACTGTCTGACAGAGATGAAGGACCACTCAGTACATCAGGAGATCACAGAGTTCCTGAAGTCAGAGAACAGATCAGAGAAACTCTCTGAGATCCACTGCTCTGCTCTGGCCTACATGCTGCAGATGTCAGAGGAGGTTCTGGATGAGTTGGACCTGAGGAAGTACAAAACATCAGATGAGGGACAACGGAGACTGATTCCAGCTGTGAGGAACTGCAGGAAGGCCAAGTAAGTCCAAATGTTATTAACTTTATAAGCTAATTTGGATCAGAAGTTTCATTATTCAAATAAACACTTTAAAATGTTTGATGTTTTAAATACTTTGAGAGCGAAATTAAATTATCCTAATTATTCTATTTATTTATAATAATGTGGCATTTTAAAGTGTTCTCCTCTTCATATTCCTTTTGAGTGATGGAGGCGACATGTCAAACAAATGAAGGACTTTTTTCTCAGAGCAGCATGTGATCACACCATACAGCAGTATTTACAGTTATCAGTGAATTAAGTTATTAATATATCATTGCAGTTTCTTCAACATTAAATCAGATCTGTTTTTACCACAATGCTTAAAGGAGAGGTGTCATGGCCATTTCCACTGATCATAATTCCATTGTTGAGGTCTACTAGAATAGATTTATATTGTGCATTTTTCCAAACTCACATTGGTTTCTCATACAGCATCTCTGTAAACTACGTATTCACTGAATTTCACTCTCTGCCTTTAACGGCTCGTTGTAGCTCCAAAAGCTCCAGCCCCCACCCTCCCTGTGAGCACAGTGTGCTCTGATTGGTCGGGACGTTGTGAATCGCGCTGAGCTCCGTGGAGGTGTTGTTTCCTTGTTTAGGATACATAGCGAAACACAGCCAAACTCATCCTGAGCACAAACAAACTCACAGCCGAAGTAAAAACAATAAGTGTGGCTTGATATTGAGTAAGAAAAAGGTTGATAAACACTGTGAGAATGGGTCTGCAGAGAGAATGGGTCTGCAGAGAGAATGGGTCTGCAGAGAGAATGGGTCTGCAGAGAGAATGGGTCTGCAGAGAGAATTTCGCCGCGATCCCAACTGTCTGTTATCAGCCTGCAGCCAGGGAGGAGAAATCAGCTGAGCTGCCTGCTCCCTGCACACAGATGTGTGTGTGAGGAAGTCCGTGGATTGGTCAATTTGGACCAATCAGCGGGGGCTTAACGTAACGGCTCCGCGGACGTAACGTAATGGCTCCACGGATTGGTCCATTTCGTTCCGGGTACGGGTTGACATCATGCCGTACCCGGAAGAATCAAATGGACAATGACGTATCTCCAACGAGGCGTTTTGGGGAGGTATTTTCTGTGTTAGAGTTTTACTCGCTATAGGGTGTACTTTGAGGGTTTTGACTTTGCACACCGTTTGCATGCATAAAAACCTTCATAACACACAAGGGGACGGGTAATAACCGGAAAAGCATGACACCTCTCCTTTAAGAGTTTAAAATAATGTCTGACAGGCTGACAATAAATATATAAAACTCTGTTATTAAATTAAATTGACGTGATGTGTCAAAAGTTGTTCCATCAAATTCAGTAAGTTAATTAAATGTTTCCTCTGTTTTTATACTAACACGTGTTGTAATATATGTGTTATTATAGACTTTCTAACTGTGGACTCTCAGAGACTCATTGTGAAGTCGTAGCCTCAGCTCTGAAGTCTGAGCCCTCCCATCTGAGAGATCTGGACCTGAGTCAGAACAAGCTGCAGGATTCACATGTGGAGCTGCTGAGTTCTGGACTAAAGAGTCCAAACTGCAGACTGGAGGCTCTCAGGTCAGTTCACTGACTGCAGTTCATATAGATCTGTTTGTATTTATCATTTTCAGAATTTGCCTGAAGACATTTTAATGGTTTTATTTTTTTTCTGTATTTCCAAATGGAAATGGAATCCAAACTTTAAGAATAACAAAGATCAGAGAAGGTGAATGTGTGAGGGAGAGTGTTTGAGCTTCCACAGACTCACTCTGTGCTCCATGAGTCAGTGGAGATGCTGTCAGTACTGATGAGCTGTGAGGGAGATGAAGGACCCGGTGGAATCTAGGGGTTACCCCTAATTTCCACCGGGTCCGTCTGCGTCGCGTTACGGCCGCGTTACGGCCGCGTTACGGCCGCGTTACGGCTGTGCCGCGTTACGGCTGTGCCGCGTTACGGCTGTGCCGCGTTACGGCCGCGTTACGGCTGTGCCGCGTTACGGCCGCGTTACGGCTGTGCCGCGTTACGGCCGCGTTACGGCTGTGCCGTGTTACGGCTGTGCCGTGTTACGGCTGCGCCGCGGCGTTCGCAAAGATCGCGGCCACTCTAGTCAATGGGTGCTATTCCACCACACGCGGTGCGTTACGGCTCAGAAGCGTCCCAGAAGCGTCTCGGCGCAGGGCTCCTCTAAAATTAGGATGAATCCTATTTTTGACATGACGCAGCCGTAAGGTAATGTAGGAGAATAAATGTCAGCGTTCTCCTCCGGTTTACAGGCACTGTAAATTATATATATAGAATAATTATGATGATGAATGCATTTGTTTATCACTAAAATACAGCAACACATCTTTGATTCATGTCGTTTATAACTGGACTATTACAATTATTATTAACTGTGTCTGTAGTCTACAACACAACAAAATAGGAAATAACAACAATAAACACAATTTAAACAGACACAAAAATGAACCATTTAACTACGTAGCCTACTTACTTGCTTGTAGAAGTACAAATGTCCAGGACGCCCAAATCAATAACAAAAGTGCGAGCCTGCATGCACGACGCTCCGCTTCTGAAACGCGCCCGGTGGGTTATGACGCTAGAGGAGGTCGGACCAAAACCGCGGCGCAGCCGTAACGCGACGCAGACGGACCCGGTGGAAACTAGGGGTTAGCCTTCCGTAGCATGGCAATGCTAACCGGCGATAGACCCGTTGTTCCCCGCGAGCTGAGGAGAAGGAGACGGGGACGCCGTGCCGGGGCAAAGCTGCGAGCCAGGAGGAGACGATATAGACCTGTCCTTACATCCATCATCATGGGGAATGTAAGATCTCTCCCTAACAAGATGTGGCGCTGACCCGACATCAGAGGGAGTATCGGAGAGTAGTATCCTGGTGTTTACAGAGACGTGGCTAACGGAGCTAACCCCGGACACTAATGCTACACTGGATGGTTTTCATCTGCTGCAGGCGGACAGGACGAGAGAGAGCGGTAAGAGGAAAGGAGGGGGGCTGGCTGTGTTTGTGAACGATAGATGGATCCAGGGCACATCACTATTCTGAAAAGTATGTTCATGTGTATGCACTCAGTACTTGGTTGGGCCTCCTTTTGCATGCATTACTGCATCAATGCGGCGTGGCATGGAGGCGATCAGCCTGTGGCTCTGCTGAGGTGTGATGGAAGCCCAGGGTGCTTTGATAGCGGCCTTCAGCTCGTCTGCATTGTTGGCTCTCGTGTCTCTCATCTTCCTCTTGACAATACCCCATAGATTCTCTATAGGGTTCAGGTCAGGTCAGTTTGCTGGCCAATCAAGCGCAGTAATTCCATGGTCACTAAACCAGGTCGTGTGTGCAGGTGCCAAGTCCTGCTGGAAAGTGAAATCAGCATCTCCATAAAGCTCGTCAGAAGAAGGAAGCATGAAGTGCTCTGAAATGTCCTGGTAGACGGCTGCGTTGACTTTGGACTTGAGAAAACACAGAGGACCAACAGCAGCAGATGACATGGCTCCCCAAATCTTCACTGACTGTGGAAACTTCACACTGGACTTCAAGCAACTTGGATTGTGTGCCTCTCCACTCTTCCTCCAGACTCTGGGACCTTGATTTCCAAATGAAATGCAAAATGTACTTTCATCTGAAAAGAGGACTGTGGACCACTGAGCAATAGACCATCTCTTTTTCTCCTTAGGTTCAGGAGCTGCTTGACACGAGGAAGGCTCAGTTGTAGCCCACGTCCTGGATACGTCTGTGCGTGGCGGCTCTTGATGCACTGACTCCAGCCTCAGTCCACTCCTTGTGAAGCTCCCCCACATTTTTGAATGGCCTTTGCTGACAATCCTCTCAAGGCTGCGGTTATCCCTGTTGCTTGTGCACCTTTTCCTACCACACTTTTTCCTTCCACTCAACTTTCTATGAATATGCTTGGATACAGCACTCTGTGAACAGCCAGCTTCTTTAGCAATGGCCTTTTGAGGCTTACCCTCCTTGTAGAGGGTGTCAATGACTGTCTTCTGGACAACTTTCAAGTCAGCAGTCTTCCCCATGATTGTGAAGCCTACTGAACCAGATTGAGAGACCATTTAAAGGCTCAGGAAACCTTAGCTGATTAGAGTGTGACACCGTGAGTCTACAATATTGAACTTTTTCACAATATTCAAATTTTCTGAGATACTGATTTTGGGGTTTTCATTAGCTGTAAGCCGTAATCACCAAGATTAAAACAAATAAAGCCTTGAAATATTTCACTTTGTGTGTAGTGAATCCATATAATATGAGTTTCACTTTTTGAATTTAATTAATGAAATAAATGAACTTTTCCACGATATTCTAATTTATTGAGATGCACCTGTAGAGCTGTTAGCCGTTAGCATGAGGCCCCATTATTTACCTCGAGAACTCTCACATGTTTTCCCCCCTCTGCCGATGCTGACGAGGCATGTGACGTCATCAGCTCTACTAAGCAGACTGCAGACACAGCCCCCAAATGCTCTTCTCCTGATCTCTGGAGACTTCAATCATGCCTCTCTCTCAAAAACTCTGCCCACTTTCAAACAATATGTTACCTTCACCACCAGAGACAATAAACCACTGGACCTACTCTACGCCAATACCAAGGATGCATACAGCTCATCCGCCCTTCCTCCCCTGGGCAGATCTGATCACAACCTGGTTCACCTCCTGCCTGTGTATCAACCTCTGGTCTACAGACAGCCGGTGCCCACACGCACCGTGAAGAAGTGGTCTGAGCTCACAGACACCTCTCACACCAGCTCCTGTTTCTTCTTCCCCCCTATCCCCCACCCGCTGACGACACCTCACAACCAACCAGGTGAGGAGGGAGCTGCAGAAGTGTAAAGGCCCTGACACACCAAACTGACACCAAAGAACACGTCCCGACAGACCCGACTGTTGTGTCGCCTCACGTCTCCTGCGTCTTGGCCAAAAAGTCGCACTGGAACACACCGCAAAGACTTCAGCCGACGGCCAAGTAGCACGTACGCACTGCGCATGCGTGAGTGGCAATAACTCTCCTTACCAGCAGGCGGCGGTAGTGTGTATTCGTCATTCAAAAGAGGCAACCGGAAGACAGACTGCGTGATACACCGAGAGAAGAAGAACAGACTGCGTGATACATACAAACTTCAGATCTCTGAAGCAGAAGTAAACTATTTAAGCATTGTGGCTGGCAACCTTGAAGTACTGCTGCTACCACATTCCATGCATCAGTAATTATAATCCAAGATGATATTAATATACAACATCATCACACTGACAGGCAAATGATGACATCGTTACAAATGAGTGAACTGTCTGTTGAGGTTTCATTTTCCAAGGTCCTGTCCGTTAAATACTTGAAGAAGCTATTGTCCACCTCATGCAGGAAGTGTGGCAGCAAATTACGTGGCAACTGAGTTTCAGTTTCTTCATTCCAGATCGCCATGATGTAAAATAAATGTTTCTGCTGCTGGGATGTTACATGAATGTATAAATAATAATAACACCATGTAACCATGTAATAGTTTCAGAAAGGCTAAACAACAACAAACTATAACAAGTGTAGTTCACTGTCTGTGGCAGAGCAATGTTGATCTTTAAATTAAAATAACAAGAAAAATCATACACTGTTTAATTCACTCTGAACCTTTAAAACACCTGAGATACATTTTATATTCTCCATCCTGCTTTTAAAAATACATTATAAAGAAAATACATGAGTAGAATTGTTTTATATTTCTGTTAAAACTATCAACCACTAAGAAATCATTTTAGTTTGTTCTGTTTCCAACATGTTCCTGGATCTACATGATGTTTACACTGACTGAATACTTTAAACTGAAGTAGCAGCACGTTGTCTTTAATATTAATGAGAGCTCTTTTCCTCTTTCTGTATCTCACAGTTTTTAACCTGTTTGGAGTTTCCACTTTCTAAACTTCTTCAGCTCTGAACAGATTATTAAACCTGGAGTTATTTCAAACAGGAACATTGTTTTCTAAAGTTACATCATGTTTTCTTTATTCAGACTGATGCTCTGCAGCTTGTCAGAGATCAGCTGTTCTGCTCTGGCCTCAGCTCTGAAGTCCAACATCCATCTGAGAGAGCTGGACCTGAGTCTCAACGATCTGCAGGATTCAGGAGTGAAGCTGCTGAGAGATCTTCTGGAGAGTCCAGACTGCAGACTGGAGACTCTCAGGTCAGTTCTCCATCTGTAACTTCTGTGCTGAGATGAATATGTGAGAGTTGTGTTGACTCTGAGCTGCAGACATCAGGCTGATATTACTCTGATCCTCACTGAGCATCTTAACCCTCTACAGTCTCAGCCCTTTGTTCATATTGTTGGTGTCCTGGTCTGCTTCAGTGAGAATGCTTGTAAAGCCTCAGCCCTGCACTGCACTCATGTTATAAACATCTTTCTTTTTAAGACAAACTAAGCTGTCAGGATGTTTCTGCTGCAGGGATGTTACATTAATGTGTACATAATAACAACAACATGTGACCATGTAATAGCTTCAGAAAGACTAAACAACAACAAACTATAACAAGTGCAGTTCACTGTCTGTGGCAGAGCACTGATGATCTTTACATTAAAATAACAAGAAAAACCCTACACTGCATAATTCACTCTGAACCTTTAAAACACCTGAGATTCATTTTATATTCTCCATCCTGCTTTTATAATATAAATTATAAAGAGAATACATGAGTAGAATTGTTTTATATTCCTGTTAAAACTATCAACACTAAGAAATCATTTCAGTTTGTTCTGTTTCCAACATGTTCCTGGATCTACATGATGTTTACACTGACTGAATAGTTTAAACTGAAGTAGCAGCACGTTGTCTTTAATATTAATGAGAGCTCTTTTCCTCTCTCTATATCTCACAGTTTTTAACCTGTTTGGAGTTTCCACTTTCTAAACTTCTTCAGCTCTGAGCAGATTATTAAACCTGGAGTTATTTCAAACAGGAACATTGTTTTCTAAAGTTACATCATGTTTTCTTTATTCAGACTGAGAGGCTGCAGTTTGTCAGAGATCAGCTGTTCTGCTCTGGCCTCAGCTCTGAAGTCCAACCTCCATCTGAGAGTTCTGGACCTGAGTCTCAACGATCTGAAGGATTCAGGAGTGAAGCTGCTGAGAGATCTTCTGGAGAGTCCAGACTGCAGACTGAGGACTCTCAGGTCAGTTCTCCATCTTTAACTTCTGTGCTGAGATGAATATGTGAGAGTTGTGTTGACTCTGAGCTGCAGACATCAGGCTGATATTACTCTGATCCTCACTGAGCATCTTAACCCTCTACAGTCTCAGCCCTTTGTTCATATTGTTGGTGTCCTGGTCTGCTTCAGTGAGAATGCTTGTAAAGCCTCAGCCCTGCACTGCATTCATGTTATAAACATCTTTCTTTTTAAGACAAACTAAGCTGTCAGGATGTTTCTGCTGCAGGGATGTTACATTAATGTGTACATAATAACAACAACATGTGACCATGTACAAGCCTCAGAAAGACTAAACAACAACAAACTATAACAAGTGTAGTTCACTGACTGTGGCAGAGCACTGATGATCTTTACATTAAAATAACAAGAACAACCCTACACTGCATAATTCACTCTGAACCTTTAAACACCTGAGATTCATTTTATATTCTCCATCCTGCTTTTATAATATAAATTATAAAGAGAATACAAGAGTAGAATTGTTTTATATTCCTGTTAAAACTATCAACCACTAAGAAATCATTTCAGTTTGTTCTGTTTCCAACATGTTCCTGGATCTACATGATGTTTACACTGACTGAATACTTTAAACTGAAGTAGCAGCACGTTGTCTTTAATATTAATGAGAGCTCTTTTCCTCTTTCTGTATCTCACAGTTTTTAACCTGTTTGGAGTTTCCACTTTCTAAACCTCTTCAGCTCTGAACAGATTATTAAACCTGGAGTTATTTCAAACAGGAACATTGTTTTCTAAAGTTACATCATGTTTTCTTTATTCAGTCTGGAGAGCTGCAGGTTGTCAGAGATCAGCTGTTCTGCTCTGATCTCAGCTCTGAAGTCAAACATCCATCTGAGAGATCTGGACCTGAGTGACAACGCTCTGAAGGATTCAGGAGTGAAGCTGCTGAGAGATCTTCTGGAGAGCCCAGACTGCAGACTGGAGACTCTCAGGTCAGTTCTCCATCTGTAACTTCTGTGCTGAGATGAATATGTGAGAGTTGTGTTGACTCTGAGCTGCAGACATCAGGCTGATATCACTCTGATCCTCACTGAGTATCTTAACCAGTGGCGGCTGGTGGAAAATATTTTAGGTGGGGCTGTGGAAATGGTGATCAAACAATACTAGGGAGGTCCTGGGGGATGCTCCCCCGGTAATTTTTTTTGAGAAAAGACCCCTTAAATTATGACTTCTGGTGATGTTAGAGGGGGGGGAAGGACAATTTGAGGCTTAAAAATATGAGAAAACTGATCAATACCTCCATAACTTCAGTGTGGTTAGAGCTATGAATCTTCCAAAACTTCCAAACACCTTGTCCTGGACATAGTTTCTACAGCATAAACTGTGCAACAGTACAGTATGCCCACACAAACTGCAGAACACCGGGGCTTTGGGAACACTGATTTAATTCCCATTTAACCTGTTAAGGGGCTTTTTTCCCCCGTTTTTTTTCTCACAAAACTGTGTCTCAGGGCTTCTTAAAATGTAATAAACTATTCATGTGTCCTACTCAGAGGAAACGCAGCTAACTGATGATATGAACCATGTTTACCGAAACAAAACACAAGTCTCACAAGAAGCGTCTAAATGAGCCCTGAGCGAAAAAATGCTAACGCACTCTAGGTATAAATCAATCGATATACTTATCGGATATGCACAAACAAGCTTACAAGCTGAGATTCCACAAATTCTAGAAATATAAGTATCATCACTGAGCGATCAGAACTCGCGACAGGGGAAGCAAATACAGACATCACACAATGTAGCTTTAAGTAGCAAAACATGGAGATATGCTCACCTTTTGCAGAATAACAATTCTGATCAAAAACGAGAAAAACGCATCTGAAGGTTAATCCATAGGTTAATCCAATGTGTCTGTCACTTTGAAAAATGATTGATGATCCATAATTCCATTTTTATGTCAAAAACTGAGTTTTCATTAGCTGCTAATGGTAGCTTCCAGAGTGTATGACAGCTTCCTGTTTTGTCTCCTTGGATACGAGTCCAAACAACTCACAGACTGCACCGGGCGCTCACGTAGGAGCCCTGTGACCATCATATTTGACAACGCTGATTGGCTGAAATTATGTTTCGGCGGCATAGTTTAAAGATAGCAACAGTTGGCTTCTGCTGCACTTGCTGCACTCTCGTCTGGGCGCTGTGCATAGCGCCCAGACGAGAGAGAGTAATGATACACGGGCAAGGCCAGGCAGGAAACATGTGACTTATCAGTAACTTTAGACATCGTAACACAATTTTAAACGAGATTTTATTGTAGATTATACATTTTACTGATACCAATTATATAATATTTACCTTGTTTATTAAAAATAAAAATAAAAATAAAAAATATTTTTTTTAAATATATATATTTTCATTTTTTATTTTTAATGTGGGAAGAGGGGGGCCCCTAGCGCCCCTATGGGCCGGCCGCCACTGATCTTAACCCTCTACAGCAGACGTGTCAAACTCAAGGCCCGCGGGCCAAATGTGGCCCGCCACGTCATTTTATGTGGCCCGCGAGAGCTCGCAAAGAATATAAACAGTTTATTATACGGTTACATGCCGTTTAAGCACGTTGCCCATAAACTGCATGTCCCAAAATGCATTTCGTTTTGTGACGTGCGCACTGAAGCGACTTCCTATCAGCAGCGGCACTCTGAGGCGGTGAGTGACCAGTGTGTGACTGTGAGTGACACAGAGTTGAAGGAACATAATTTACAGCGGCACAGAGACACCAAACACGGAGCAAAGTCTGCTTCAGCAACCGAGACAAGCAACTCCAGTCCCAGAACAAACAGACAGAATGACCCGCTCTTTAAGAATCAGTCGGTGTTGCTGCGGCTCAGAGACACACATGGATTTATTATGTTTTAGAAAAACTCGCGTTACGGTTATTTCCGGTTTCTGGTTGATTAAAATATATGAGGTCTTGGCTTGCAGAGTATGAACGTCTTTTTGCTATATTCAGACGATAAATACTTATAAATACTTGTGTAAAGTTTGTAAAGGAAGGAGGAAAACTTCCGCGATCCCTGTCCCCTCTCACTCTGTTCCTCCTCAACACGCCGCCGCCCCCCCCCCCCACTCACTGCTTACTGAAATAGTGAGTGACAGGTGATAGTAACACAGCAGGATCTGGGACAGGGGGTTCTCAAAGTCTTGGCTTTCAGACTATTAAAATATTATTGCTGAATTCAAATGAAATATAGCCTACTTAAATAATGCTTGATATACAAAAGAAAAATACTTTATTATTCACAAAAAATAGATTTCACAAACATTGTATCTCTTTTTGATAAGATATGATGAGGCTAACTAAATTTCATAAATTCATGGGATTTATGTAACAGTAAGATAGTGAAATGTTAGTCTGAGCCCACATACAGTATTTTTGTGTCTACGTGCACAATACATTAATGCACAACCATGTGCTTTCAGACGTAGTTATTGCCAAAACCAATAATACTCCAATGCAGAGGCAATATTGTTATACAGTATAAAACATTATTTTGATATTTATATATGTATATTTATATAGTGTTAAAATTACAACCGGCCCTTTGAGGGCAACCATAATGCTGATGTGGCCCGCGATGAAATTGAGTTTGACACCCCTGCTCTACAGTCTCAGCCCTTTGTTCATATGGTTGGTGTCCTGGTCTGCTTCAGTGAGAATGCTCTTAAAGCCTCAGCCCTGCACTGCACTCATGTTATAAACATTGTTTGTTTGTTTGTAGCCTTTATTTAACCAGGTTAAAAAATCCCATTGAGATCAACGATGTTCGGCAGTGGCTCAGTCAGTAGGGGCTTGGACTGGGAGCCGTAGGGTCGCTGGTTCAAGTCCCCGACCAGACCTAAATATGGAGTGTGGACTTCTACTTGGAGAGGTCCCAGTTCACCTCCTGCCCTGCCGTGGTGCCCTTGAGCAAGGCACCGGACACCCCCCCTTCCCCCCCACTCCCATTGCTCCCCGGGCGC